GTCACGTAGTGATCGTCTTCTCAATAGAACCTCTTTGATAATGTCTTCTGGCCAATCAGAATCAAGATAACGGCGTGGTATTGTTGCAGGAAGTCCCGACGGAGAATATTTTTGCTGCAGTACATCTCTATATACATCGATACAACATTACGTGTTGATAGAAATCAACACGTAATGAAATAAGACCCCACGGTTTGATGATTGATAGGTGTGTGGGCTGTCTTTCATTTTGACACACAGAACAATGTTATAATAAACATACATACTGTATGTTAAATGGATATATCCGCCTTCTTTCATTTATCTTTCCATTCCCACAACAATATACATAAAGAAATGGCACATTTTGGACATAGTTCAAATGGTGATTAATCATGATTAATTCATTTTTAAGGTGTGATTAATCTGATTAAAATTTGTAATCGTTTGACAGCCCTAATATTTTATTGACATGTTTTGAAAATGTATGTTAACATGTGTCAGTTCACTAAACTGCAAAATTAGAATCTAATCGGATAAAAAAAAAAATGGTTTCTTGTTAAAAATATTTTAATACATTTTCTTTTATATAAATAAGTGTATTCACAGATAAATGTACAGTTGCTTTCAATTCTATCCGGTAACTGATTCATGTGCTGGCCAGGATCGCTATGGAGATTATCACCTGATTTTTAGGGCATATAATGTGGGCGGCTATGGCTCAGTGGGTAGAGTGCTGGACTTTGAATCAGGGGATAGCAAGTTCGAGTCCCACTGCAGTCAGCATGTCGTTGTGTCCCCTCCCTGGGCAAGACACTTCACCCCAAATTGCTCCTGTGGGGATTGTCCACGGTACTGTAAGTCGCTGTGGATAAAAGCGTCTAACAAATGACATGTAATGTAATATATCGACATTATTATTAAACATATAACACGGCTACTATTATTGAACACATTTCTTACTTTTTTGTTTTTCTCATTTTATTTCTGCTCACTCACGCCTTTGTTCTTTTCTTCCAGTCTACATGCAAAATAATATAAAAACAGTTCAAATATACAACCATTAATAGATTAATTGACAAAGGTGCATACAAATGATTTGCACACAATATACACAGGTTTATAAGTAAAGTTGCTGCAGTTTTAGTGGTGTGTCTCCTTCCTACAACCCGAATCATCTATAGAGTACACATGCTAAATTATAAATAAGAACTTGTTGTTATTATGCTGGCCAGCCAAACCTCTGAAACGTTTTGCATGGCTTTGCTTACTGCCCTAATTTCAGGGACGCCTGAAGTGGTCAACAATGTCATGTGATTTGTTACATATATGTGTCTTTGGGCCATGTGCTTTCTAATTGACCTCCTCCGCCCCTTCCACAGGGCCCTTCATTTGGTGTGAATGTCATTAACAATTCCTGACTTTGAGTGAGGTCGACTTTCAGTTTTTAAAAGTTAGACATCCTTTGTAAATACAGAACATGAATTCAAAATGAGAACACTGGAATCTAAAGTTAGTAAATTCTTTGCTAGAGAGATTATGTTGGCAGTTTCAAGTTAGTATTCATGAGTCACATACGGCATCAGAGGATAATGTGAGAACAAAACAATGATGTCACTTATTGTCCTCCAACACATCTATAATTATAGTGTGTGTGTGTGTGTGTGTGTGTGTGTGTGTGTGTGTGTGTGTGTGTGTGTGTGTGTGTGTGTGTGTGTGTGTTGGGGGGTTTAGCCTAGCCTGCAGCTGCCCAAAAATGAAGGAAGAATCAGAAGACCAAAATAGTCGGACATGAAAGAGGATAGGAGAGGAGGAAGACTAAAGAGTTACAGACTGTGGACGAGGCAGAGAACTCGGAGGAAACAAGTTTGAACTCGAAATGTAATGAATTTGAACCATTAAAAGTTTATGCTGCCAACAAGTGGGTGGATGGATGATCCATTTAAGCACTAGATAACTAGAGGATCGTAGTTTGCCTCAGTGTTCTGACCTTTCTATCAGTTGTAGTACAGTTACACCATAGTTGTACATGTTACACAGCATTTTGGAAGCTGGTTAAGTTTCACTTTTTCTTAAGGGGAGATAACTTGTTGAGCATATTCCAAAGTTCCCTTGTCTTATAATAACCTCACTAGTGACGAGTGCAGTCATAAAGCTGTGCCTCTCTTGTTCTTTTAGTTATGCTACTTAAATCTACTTTCAAAGTGTGAGCTGTTTTTATTTAGTTTTCGGAATGATAGTCGTTTATGGAAAATGTCTCTTTCATTTGTTGAGGAACCTTGATGCACCAATTCAAAATGTTGGAAAGAGTTGTTGTTAGTGATAGGTGCCTAGAGAAGTCCTTATACTTTTTTTAGGTTGATTCAAAGCAATGTGTACTCAAGTTCTGTCTCTTAGGGTTTCAGGCTGATATTTCCTGGCCAATATCAACACTTGAAATCACCGAGTGCTTTAGATTTTAAAGGCATACATTAATGTTGTCTGCATTGCCATTGACAGCTTTTCCTGTCAGACAGCAAACAAGAAACCAGTTATGCAGGAAACCCGACGAAGTGTTTGACATGCAGTTGTAACTTTTCGGCATGAATGTTTACAAATTATACCAATCCTTTGTCCAGCACTGGAATCAGACTTCTAAAGACGACTTTGTGTCAACACTGAAATGAGTATTCATCGCTTAATGTAAGGACTTTTACTTTTATTCACAAGCTCTGCTCTTTCTTTCAGGCTGTGGCTGTGTCAATGTTTGTCATGCATACATGTACAGGTCAACGCAAAGCTGGTGAGCTTTATATGGCCAAGGAATCAACTTTCACAAGCAGAAATCTAGCTGGGGGAAATCGGGTTAGGCAGAATCCTGGTTACCTAAGTGCATATAATGCATTGAGTCAAAAGGACATTGTGGACTTTCATATGTACACTCGTCCCGTTTCCTACAGCTGTTTATAAGCATTAGACCAATGACAAATATATAATGTCGAAATCATTTTTTCCCTTTTGATGCGTGTGATTGAATACCAACGTTTTTATACATATTAAAAAATGGCTGCGATGGATGAAAAGTATTTACCACTGTAGTTGAGGTAGTGGCACTGTTTACTAATCTTCCAGCAGTGCACTTCAACTAAATCCTTTTCTTCTAAGTAATTTTTTTTTTTTAAACGTTGCCAAGACAAACAATAGAGTTTTAATGCATTTAACAGCATTTTTTCATCAGATAGCAGCATCTTGGGCTTCTCACAGGGAATGGAATTTTGCATATTTGCATTAAAACTAAAATAAACTATTATTATTATTATTATTATTATTTTTGTTTAAGTGAATCGGCCTTGTAAGCCCAGGCATTTTCCTGATTAATGGCTCGTCCGAGTATCAAAAATCGAAACAAACAAAATAGTATGCCTTCTCAGTTTCTAGAAGCCTTGGGAAACGATTCAAAGCTATAAATCGTCTTTCTATGGTCAGATTAAGTTTCATTGTCTTGAATAGTGTCCGCATGTGGCATTGTCGGTCCCCCCCCCCCCTCTCTTACATGATCCAAAAATAAAATAATTTGCTTCTCCCTCACGCAAGCCCACATAAGGTCCTTCCTGTCTTCTCGGTTTAATGTAACTGTCATTTGTTTTTAATCCAAGTCCCCCTGCTTGTGTTAAAGCTTAATCTGGCCTATTACACTTTGTACATGTCTGCACTGTCAGTATGAGGATGTGGGGGGGGGGTGTGGATGGGACACAGACATTAGATCATACCATCTGGAGCAAGAAACGCACAATGAAGTAATCAAGGTTATCCAAGTTTCCCATGGCTGAAGATACGGTAACGTGGGGAGGAAGATGTTGATAAAAAAAGTTGTTTGTGGGTAATTTGGGACTTAGAGCGAGCCTCTAATTTGTTCGAGGCTGAGAGAGATAATTAGGTGAATAAAGAGGACGAGATGATTTGTGCGAAACCTCCTCACTCCGCACCAACAGTGTGAATTTCACTTGCCCGTCCCTCTCATTGGTGTCAAACCTCAGAGAGGTGTGTGTGATTTATGCCGCTGAGTGCATGTCTGTGATCCCACACCGAGTGGGTGTCTGTTCGCTGGTGTTTGTGCCACAGTGTGTGTTTGCGTCTCGTCACCCTGGAGCCAGTCGTCCTCTCCTCTGACCCTGATCCCCGTCACCTGTCCGCTTAGATCACACACGCACACACACACACACAATTGCTCTGACCCTTTCCTGGAGTTGAAACCCAATCGCAGTAGCCAACCATGTAAAACTTGCCAGCACAGCAAGGTTTTGTTTTTCTTTTTGTGGGTGTGTGTGTGTGTGTGTGACTCGAAAGACCTTCTGTCTGCTGTAGGATGAACTGAAGCATTTTTAGCTTGTATAATAACTTTTTAAATAACTTTATACACTACTGGCCCTTGTAGGTTCAAAAGAAAGTCACACATACAGTCGGAATCAGAACATAAATGTTTTATTCTTCACACAGCGTATACATTTATCATCACAATATCAATATGTTACTAAATGGTGAATATTGTTTGGACTAGAGACAGTGTAACATTAACCAAAGTAAAACAGTGACAAGAGTCACATCGAGACTAAACTCAGTGTCCCAGCAGCTTTACCTTTTCCCTGGTGTTATTAGACATGGTTGCAGCACGTAGCAGTGGTTCATAGTAACATGTGCTCATACTCAATTATGAATGTATATGATGGTACAGTAAAGGGTTCCATTAACAGCTTTAGACTGGTGTTTCTGTTACGATGTTGACGAGTTGTGTGTATATTTATCTAACCTAGTTTTTCTTTCATTGCTAATGTGTTTTTGTTGGTTGTTCTACTTCTGTGAATGAATAATAATCCACTTTTTAATAGATAAATGTCTCTTTATAAATCCTGAAATAAGATATGGGTCAATCAAATTAAATTGAAAAGGAAATCAAAGACTTTTCCTTCTCTTTCACTGTCACTTTCTATTACTGTCATCATGTCTTCCTCTTGATGATTACATGTTGTTTTATCTCTTCTCAGGAGACCAAGTCCTCCAGCCGCTCCAGCATGCCGCGATGTCGGAACTCCGTCGCCACGACCACAACAGACGACCAGCCGCACATCGGAAACTATCGGTTGCTAAAAACCATCGGCAAAGGCAACTTCGCCAAGGTCAAACTGGCCCGACACGTCCTCACCGGAAAAGAGGTAGGCATACATGCACAGTGCACACGTGCTAGACAATCTGTCCTTTGGTTCCACTGATAGTCACCTAGACTCAGTGTTTTCTTTTAAGCCACATGTTTGAGAGAAACTTTACTATTGTGACTTTATTTACCTGGAAACTGGCTTCTTTAATTGCAAACACCAACAATTCTGACACCTACGCGATAATTTTTTTGGCGTCATCAAATCCACTTTGATCCATCTTTTTTCTTTTTGATTATTTATTTATATTATTTAATTATCGTTATCCTTTTTTTCCTTGTACGATGAATTTTTGATATTAAGCTATATTAATAAAATGTGATTGACATTTAAGATGAAGACATATATAAACTATTAGCCTGTGGATTGTGTGTCAAAGTGCATTTTGTGTAGATTAGTATGTACATCTCAAACTGCTTTGACTGTTCTATTTATCTTTAAATCTTCACTGAAAAGTTGTATGATTGTGTTTATTGCTGCCCTTTTGGCCCGGACACTCATGAAATGAATTACTTTTTAATCTCAATTCGACTTTAATCTGGTGCTTAATGTATATATAAACGTATAAGGTAATTGCCATTAGACAATTTAGGCAGGCAATGGAACCTGACCCCGTAAGTATAAGTTACTGAAAAATGGACTGCCAGTCCTTTAACCAGCAGCTATGTTATCACCAAAAAACACTTCTGCTTAGAATAGAAGATGTTAAAAGTAGAAAAATAGTTAAATGTTTGGACTGTTTGTTAATCTTCCTTCCTGGTTGCTGAGGATACGGGAGGGTTCACGCTGGGATGCACAGTGGGGTCCGGTCTGATCCTGGCCTCGCATGGCTTTGGAGACGGTACATCTGCTGCGGGAGATTAGATGGCCATTGTCAGCTTGAATAGAGAAGCCCAAATGTCTCTGGCTTACTGTGAATTCCAGATGTGCTGTAACGCGGTGGTCTGTACCTTTAAGGGAAACGCTGTGTCTGCAGCGAGCCCATGCTGGGGTCTGTCTGAGGCCCACTGAAGTACACTGTGTGTGTGTGAGGGAGAGAGAGGGGTGTGAGGGCTCTGTCAATGTGTGACAGCTCTGTGCCTGACACCCTGATAACACTCCATGTGACTCGCTGACACACACACACACACACACACACACACACACACACACACACACGCATAAAGAAAACAAGGGAGAGTCAGAGGGCATGAAAGACAGACAGACAAGCACAACCAGAAAGAGGAGTGGAAGAAAGGAGTTAGTTGACAGTGAAAGACGGATGTGGGAGAAAACCTCCCTTTTTGGTGTCCTTGTTAAGACATATACTTATTTGTTTTCCTCGCTTTATCTTCACGTACTCTTTTCTCTTCTTCTGTTTTATCTGCTCACCCTACATCTCTCACTTTGAATATCACCCATCTGTCCATATCTCTATTTGTCTTTCCTTTTGTTGTGTTTAACTCTCTCTGTGTCTCTCTCTGTTGTTGGCATCATCTGTTGGATTATGAACTATAGACCTCATTATAGCATGCTTTAGCTTTGTGTGTGTGCCTGTATACTGCCCTATTATGCAACTGTAGCCCGCTGTGAATATGTGTTTGTGTGTGAGATGTTATCATTCTTCTGTGTGTGTGTGATGTGTCCAAAAAGATAGCTGCAATGCTACTGTTGTCGATGAATAAAAGAGTAATAACACATGTGGTTTTGCTTCTAGGTGGCTGTAAAGATCATTGATAAGACACAGCTCAACTCCTCCAGTTTGCAGAAGGTGGGTCTCTTTCTCTCCCTCACACCACACACACACACACACACACACACACATGGACACACACATATGGGCACGAAATCCAAACCTCAGTCCTTCTTATCCCTTTTCTCAGAAGTCATTTTCAAGTCACTCTTCCTGCCCCACATGTCCTTCTCTCTTGCTTTTTCCTTCTGTCTCTCTCTCTGTCTTTCTGAAGTGGTCTAGTTTTTCAGAGAGAGTTTTAATTACAGGAAACAAGCTGCAATTACTTCTTTTGATCGTGGCAGGGTGGGGTCTGTCCACTTACACGCACACTCCCTTACCATGTATGTGCACATTCAACCCACACACACACTCGTGCATCTTTAATGTGCGCAAATGTGGACACATGACAGGAACATTTTAAGACGTCACAAAGAGACTCACAGCACATAAATCCAGTGATAAATGCTCACACACGCTCACATCAAATGCATTAGGGACCAATTTGGAACTCCTGATATTATTCCCTATCAGTTCTTAAAGTTTTTTTTTTAACAGTTTTTTTTTTTGCCAACAAAGGGGACTTTGTCTGTTCTTTTTGCACGGTTCTTGGAAAATGCGTCTTGCTGCATTTCTGCATGCTGCAACTGAAGCAAATAATGTGCTGCCTTTAAAAGACCCATGAAAAGACAAACACTCACTGTTTTATTTTATTTTTACACAAAAATAACACCTGGACATTCAGAAATGCTATAAGTGTGTGAGCTACACGTGATCAAGGGACATTGTGTAAGCCTTAAATGTCAAGTTGTTTTCTTGATATCGAGGAATTTAATTATAAAAAAACACAACTGAATGTGTTACTGGTTTTAAAGCCATTTTGGAAAATGGGATTACATTACATTAATAAGACAGCAAGTGAAATGAAACAAAACATTGTGTTTGAGTGTATTACACACATTACCTTTTTAATGTGTTTCATTTTGGGTTGTTTGCAACCTTAACAGCTATACTCTGGCTTCTAACTGTCTGTCTACAGTAAGCATAGTTATCTGCTGAGTCAAATAAATATATAATGAGTGAAAACTGCCTCTTCTCGCCTAAACCACAGAAAGAGACTGAGTGGCACAGACTGGAATTAATACTTGTTATGCTTGAATCTATCTATCAGAGTTTACAAGCAGCTGAAGGCAACATTTGTTAGCTCTGAAATCCTAAATTGTGCCGGGATTTAAACTAATATTTGTTTCCCTTTTCAGTAAATTGACACACATGCTCAAACAGGAAGTGCATATTTATGTTTCCAGTGTCACTTTACCCACTGCAAATATTGATTAAGAGTCTATGCAATGACACAAATAAAATACAGTATACTTAATAAACAAATTGATAACAAATCTATTGAAAGTATTTTGCGCTTAAATGTGTAGAATATAAATGTAACGGCACACTGACAAGCAACACCAAAATAAATCTGGTCTCCTCTCTCGCAGCTCTTCCGGGAGGTGAGGATCATGAAGATGTTGAATCACCCCAACATAGGTGAGTCACAGTGAGATCACTCTGTCGTCCCGCAGCGATGTATTTTGTCTTTCAAGGTCATGCATTCAACCTGTCTCATATTAATACTTCTGCTTTTGTCTTATCTCTTTGTTTTTGCTTTCTTCTTTCCTGTCCCTTCTCCCTTCACTTTACTTTCCCCTCCCCCTCCTCCTGCTTTTCTCTCTCCACCTCCAGTCAAGCTGTTTGAGGTGATAGAGACAGAGAAGACTTTGTACCTGGTAATGGAGTACGCCAGTGGAGGTGAGTGCGTGTCACTGTGAAATAATTCCCCCTGAGGCTGGGCACTCTGTATGTTACCATCACATGCCTCATAGTACACAGGTTTAGTTTTTTTTCTGGGAGAGTCTTCTCAATGTAGACGCACATGATTTCACATTTGTATTCAATATTATTTTATTGTAAAGACATTTACAAATAAATGTCTATTTTATTATATATGTTTGCTGTACTGTGAATTGTTGTTTTTTCTTTATTTCTAACATAGAAGCCGTGTTTAATTAGATTACGCATATATACGAATAAAACGTTTTTTTGTATGAAAAGAAAATAACGTACTTTATTACAAAAGAAAGAAGCCTGTTTGTAAGTATTTGTATTTTAGTTAAAGTGCCTATACTTTTTTTCTTTTTAAATGACAATAGTTAGTCCAATGTCCCTTTCACCTAATACTCCGGCCTTAAAGAGACAAGTATTAGGTTCCAACAATAACTCTGCTCTCCTCATTTCTCTCGTCTCCCAGGAGAGGTCTTTGATTACTTGGTGGCCCATGGCAGGATGAAGGAGAAAGAAGCCCGTGCCAAATTCAGACAGGTTTGTTTTTGTTTATTTTGGAGAAAATGCATTTTTGTTAGGGCTGCCCAATAGGTTAGCTTTTATTTTCATCAAGATGTCAACTTGTACGATAATGGGTTTAGAGTTTCAAAAAGAGTTTCAGTAGGAAACTTCACTCTTTTCTTTGTCGTTGGCTTTTGTGCACAGATCGATGTTACTTTTTTTTAAAAATTTAATGAATTTAAAAAAAAAATATTTACCAAGCATTTTATTGTATTTTCAGCAGTAAACTGAAAGAAGCAGAACAGAGTACACTTAATATCTGTTTATTAAGCGCAATAAATATTATTCAACAACGTCATCACATTATATACTCATATTGTGCAGCACTACTGTCTGGTTATGTAATTGTATATGTATGTTTGTGTACGCTGCGGTTGTTTTAAGGCATGATATATCTGAAGTGCAGAAGCAGGAATCTCTTTTTATTTTAATAAGTGCATTTATTTAATATTTTAATGATTGATATTAATAAGAAGTTTTGCATAAATTGAGCTCCCTGTGTACTTTATTATCGCTTTCTGAAGTACCCCAATGGAGAGATCAGGGTCTTATAGTTAATCTCTAAAACTTGTTCATCTTGTCATCTTTTCTCACTCCGTCTCTTCCTCTCTCACTCACTTCTCACTCTCCAGATTGTGTCAGCGGTGCAGTATTGCCATCAGAAGTGTATAGTACACAGAGACCTCAAGGTGAGAACACACACATGATTGAATTACATTGGGTGTCAAAGCGCGAACTGGCATGCTCTCTCGCTCTGTCCACTTTTTAACATCATAGGATCTGACTTTTTGAGATTAGAAATTCTGCCTCCATGAACAGGTGACTCGTGGGTTAATCACAAAGATTATATAATGTCCCTCTTCGAGTGCTAGGGCTTAAACACGCATACCCATACATACGCACATTTATTTCTTACGTAATTCTCCTCTTGTGTTCACTATTGGATAATCCTCTCTCGCTGTCTCTCCATATATTCTCCCTTCTGTCTTTAAAGCACTTCAGTTGGTGTCAGAAATTAAAACGCAGACCTAATTCTTCCCGCCCATTGTGTTGTTAATCCTCTTATTGTGCCAGCAGGCAGACCTGTAGACAGAACATTATCATGATTACTGTAACCACACAGAACCCTCTCATCTCAAAGTTGTGTCCCCAATCATGGTTATCGTTTAGCTATTTATAAACATTTTCAGTGCTTTCAGCAAGGTCACGAAACATTTTTCACTCTTTACCAGGCAATGATGGTTGGCGTGCACAAAAAGAGAGAGAATGAGACAGACAGTTCCAATTATTGTAATGCGTAGCGTCCTGCACTTTATCCTAATCACTCTTGACCTGTGCATTCTATTGTGAAATCCAGCACAGGCTTAATTCTAGCGCAACGAGACGGAAATCGTTCTGTTTTGGTCCAAAGATGAAAAACCCAGCACGACTGCATTCATGTTCTTCGAACTGCTATTACAGCTCTGTCTACTAGTTTTTTGTTTTTTGTTGTATGATAATTAGCTATAGATGATTAAACTTGATAGTAGAAAAGAAGAGTGACCACTGTTCATTTATTTCCGAGTTCAAAGTCTAGAGATGATGTCAGTGTTGTATTTAATGTGCACACACACTCAAACACTGCAATGTATTCAGAGCTAGTGAAAAGAATAGCACACCTGTTGCTAGGCAACCCCAGCCTCATGTTCACTTCCTCACTTTAGGCAGTGAGACACACACACACACACACACACACACACACACACACACACACACACACACACACACACACACACACACACTCATGCTCTCCTGTTCTCTCCTTCAGTCGTGGAGCTTCTGATCGTGGCTCACGACTGCTTCAGCCTCACCTGCAACATGGAGGGAATCGTCCGAGTGCTACAGGCCGCCCGACACCTGAGCCACGCCCACCTGGCCCCCCGAGAGCACTACGGCCTGCTGGTGAGACACACACACACACACACACACACACACACACACACACACACACACACACACACACACACACACTAATAACCTCATAAATACGGGATGACCAGCCCCCCACTGTCACGAACCAAAATGTGTTTATTGAAAGTATTGAAATTGTGTGTGTGTAGTCATACTATGTCAGTCAGGATTGAAATTTCGAGGAGGAGGAAGACGACAAGTCTCACATTGATCAGCAGAGTGAAATTTCTGCAGGAGAGGAAAGTCCACATTAGTATTAGCTACTGTATCATCGAGATTGAAATTCTTCAGAGTAGGTAGTCCTACATTTATAGCTATATTTTCATCACAGAGATGAGAATGTTTCGCAGAGAGAAGGCCACTATTAGTCATACATCACATTGAGATGAATTTCTCAGGAGGAGGAAGTCTCACTAATGTCATACGATCACAGAGAATGAAATTTCTTCAGGAGAGGGAAGGTCCACGATTAGTCTATACATTTTCACAGATGATGAAATCTCAGGAGAGAAGTCCGGATTGTTTTTAGGCATAAATGCACAGAGATGATAATTTCTCAGGAGAGGACGACTACAAGGTCCACTTATAGTCGTAGTACCATGCACAGGAGATGATAATTTCTCAGGGAGAGGATAGTCCACAATATTAGTCTATTATTACATCCAGAGCATGAAGAATTTCTCAGGGGAGGAAGTCCACATATGTCATCCGTCACAGTAGATGACTATTTCTCACGAGAGGAAGTCCACATATTTAGTCATACATTCACAGGAGTGATAATTTCTTCATGAGTTAGGAAGCTCATGTCACCATATATCTCACATGAGTTGAAATGTTTCAGAGTGTGAAGTCCACCTAGTATAGTCGATTACGATAACAGTAGAGTTGATATTTCTCAGAGAGGAAGGACTACAAGTCACATATATTCTATCAGAGAATGGGAATTCTCAGGAGAGGAAGTCCGACATATAGTCATACTTCAGCTCAGAGATGAATATTATTCAGAGAGGAAGTCCACATATTAGAGGTCATACGATACAGAGATGAATTTCTCAGGAGAGAAGTCTCACATATAGTCATACGTCACAGGGATGGATTTCTAGGGAGAGGAAGTCCACATGATAGTCATACAGTGCAGCATGTGAATGAAATTTCTCAGGAGAGGAAGTCCACAGATAGTCATACATACAGAGATGAAATTCGTGCGCGGAGAGGAAAGTCCACATATTAGGTCATGCATCACAGAGATGAATTTCCGCTCAGGAGAGCGCGGAGAAGTCCACAAGTAGGTCATACTGTCCAGAGATGAAATTCTCGAAAATCTTCATGTCATGGAGTCAGTAGCGATCACAGAGAAATTTTCCTGGAGAGATGCGTACTACCTATCCACATATAGTCATACATCACAGGATGAATTTCTCAGGAGAGGACGACGGACTAGTGGCAAGAGTCATCATGCACAGAGATTGATAATTTCTCTGGAGAGTGATTCGGACTATCAATGTCCTACTATAGTCATTACTTTTATCACAGAGATGAAATTTCTCAGGAGAGACGTACTAAAGTCTTCACTATATAGGTCATATCACAGGGATGAAATTTTCTCAGGAGAGGACGACTACAAGTCCACATAAGTCATACTCACAGAGGATGATAATTTCTCAGTGGTAGGATCGTACTATCTAAGTTTAATATAGTCATCAACACAGGTATTGATAATCTCTTTGGTGAGTGATCGTACTCAGTCCTTAATATCAATTTTTTAGCTACATCACAGAGATGAAATTTCTCAGAGTTTTAGTTGACGAGCTTCCGAAGGTTCCACATATTATGCTTTTTACATGCACTCTATGGGATTGATAATTTCTTCAGGAGAGGACGACTTACAGTCCACATATAGTCTTAAATCACTTAGAGTTTGGATTTGAAAATTTCTCAGAGAGGACGACTAAAAGGTTCACCATTATGTATTACACACAGGAGATGGAAATTTTCTCAGGACAGACGACACAAGTCTCCATATAGTCATACATCACGTGGATGATGAATATTTTCTCTTAGGGTAGAGGTACGGACTAAAGTCCACATATTATTTTATCTATACATCACTATGCGATGATGATATAGTTTTTCTTCAGGAGAGACGACTACAAGTCCACATATAGTCATACATCACAGAGATGAAAATTTCTCAGGAGAGACGACTCAAGAAATCCACATATAGTCATATATCACATTAGATGAAATTTCTCAGGAGAGGACGACTACAAGCCACATATAGAATTAATCACTAGAGTATGAAATTTCTCAGGAGAGGATCGTCTACTAGGTTGCACATAGTTAGGTATACTATTTTACATGTTTTGTTGTAAAATTCTCAGGAGAGGACGACTACAAGCTGTTCACATTATAGTCAACATCTACATTGGGATGAAATTTTCTCAGGGAGAGACGTATCTACAAGTCCTACATTAGTTCGATTATATTCTACATGAGATGATTAATTTTCATGGATGTTAGGTACGACTACAATGTTCACATATATAGTCACTCATCTGAGATGATAATTTCCAGGGAGACTGACCTACATATGTTTCTTGGGCACATGGTATAGTCATACATACAAATGAAAATTTCTCAGAGAGTACTTCTACTTAACCTGAATTATAACTGTGGTACCCTTGTTGTTATTGTTATTAACACACACAACACCCCACAGCCACACACACACACAACACACACCCACACACCACAACACACACCCACACACAACCACACACCACACCACACACCACCACACACCATGGACAGAGGCCAGACACAGTAGAAGAATGAGTCGTCGTAGAGTTCGCTACCACAAGACTACGTCGTCCAGGTTCTGTGCAGTAGAGTAATATGGACGGCTTAGGGACACTCCTCTGCGTGGATGTGTGTGTGTGTGTGTTTGTGTGTGTGTGTGGTGTGTGTGTGTGTGTGTGTGTGTGTGTGGTGTGTGTGTGTGGTGTGTGTGTGTTGTGTTGTGTGTGTGTGTGTGTGTGTTGTGGTGTG